TTTTAGGGGTTCATGAGCGATTTCAAAATAGATCAGCATGACGAATTGAGAAAAACTTCAACAAGAATGTTTGTACTCCAGTATATGTAAATTTGTGACTGATAGCTGTATTAATAATGTGCGTTGCGAATTTATTCTATTTAACTACGATAATTCATTCTAAACTAACTACAGTAGAAGAAAAAAAACACAGCGGTATTTCTATAAACGTTTCAAATAATTTTAATTAATTTTTTGTACACAAGCAGACTTATAAAAAATATACAACAAAATATACATACTAAAAGGTTTTATAGAGTCTCAAAAATAGTCCATTTCATATAGCTCATCCCAAAAACATGTCGAAGAAAAATTTTCATCCTCACAAGTGTATAAAATGCAAGATGACATATTGAGTTTGTTATGGAGACTAATGCTAAGAATGTATCCAGTTGTTAATTATGTAACCAGCTGTAATACTGGTCAACTTGTACAACAGCAGTTTTTGTCGCACAAAAGTTCATCCCAAAGCAGAACGTCTTTTTAATGAGCACCAGCAGTAAATTGATACAATTGAAAACACAAAAATCAATATCATTGTAGAACAAACAGCCAGAATAGTGAGAAAAACCTTTAGGAAGCTTGGTTTTATATTGATAGCTTTTAATATTCTTTCATTGATATCCAAAGGTGCATGAATATCAGTCAGATTTCTTAAGTTTTCAGCATGGTTAGCAGAATTTAATTGAGCTATGCGATTTATGCTGGAGTTGAATGCCATTATTTGACCTATTTTCGGATAGTCTACTAACCGGTGGTGTTCGTTGCTCTCCTCGTGTATATATGATACATATAGATAAAGAGGATAGATAAGGATAGATACATCGAATGTCTTCTAATGTTACATCCGGATATGGATATGTGGCATACAGAAAAAGAAAAAGAAGACTTACACGCTAGAATTCTACTATTTCACTTTATTAGCTAATATTTTCCACTTTGGAACCCAATAAATATTTATTGTGTTTTCGTTTACTAAAGAAGAGGGCATTTTTCATCTGAATATTTTCAAAAGTTTTCTATGGGTGAATAAGCCCATGCCTTCCATCACCTAGCAGAGATCTCGATCGATCTTTAAGGGTTTTGATATGGTGAAGCGAGACAATTGAGTTTTTTCGAGTGAGTCCAGAATGTTTGGTATATGAGGGAATGAAAATCGGGCCCTGTTAACTACACTTTTGTATGTATTGTATACACTCTGTCAGCAATTAGTCTCATGTGAAATATCAGTCTTTTACAATTAAGTATACAATTTCTTTTATTTCAGTTATCCGTGTTCGATAAGTCTTTATTTGTTGTTGTTGTTAGCTATCGTTATGACTGATTAAGATGTACACATATGCACTCTAATCGGGTGCATTGGACGAATTTTTAAGTCTGCAGATAGAAGTTGAAAATAGTCCGGATCTGAAAGCTGATAAAATATGCTGTGATTTTTGTTGCTTTTGTATACTTGTTTGTATGCTTGTTTTCAAGCATACTGAATTCAGTGATGAACTCAGTTTATAAAGATTTTAATTTTTGTAATCGATTTCTAGAAAACATAGATTTTGAGCTACTTGATTTTGAAGAAAAATCTCTTAAAAATCCGGTTTTATCTTGTCTTTTTTTCAAACTTGCACATCGAGTAAAGGACACTTTTCTAAAGTGAAAAGATAGAAAAAGAATGTTCACGTTTTTGACACGTTTTTTTGACAGCCATTTTGTGTCTCAGAATAAGTCTGCTTCATGAGAAAATGCACCAAATCTGAAGACTTCGTTGCTGTATAGGCTCAATCAATGTTTACTGTACAAAGATTTCAAGTAAAATGCACAAAAGTGGGTAAGAAAGTGAACTCTTCGGTTTTCCTTCGCGATTCGATTATGTTAAGTCTTGATTGTTAAACAGAACTTTTTTTCTGATAGAGGGCCTTTTTTATCTTCTAAAACGTTGTACCACCAGATTCGTATAATATCGTATTATACAAAATTACAAGATTTCGTAAGGTCGTATGGTATGACCTCGTATCTCTCATATGATGTTGTAGGATCGTGTACGACATTGTTGGACCTTGGTATTCTTCTTACAGTTCGATATAGTCATTGAGGTGTAAATAAGTCAGCAAAGTGAATGACACGCTATGTGCAAGCACTTATAGCCCGTCATATTAGTTTGTGGTTAAAATTTGATGCTTTTGTACAAGATTATAGTTAGCTTCTAGCAATTTTCTCCACAAAGTTTGTTTTCTTTTATCAGGAACACATGGAAATCTCTATTTGGATCTTGTCCCTATGCTAGGTTAGTGAAAGGGAAAAAAGAACTAGTTTTATTTTTGTTAATGTACGTTAGTCAATATATTAACAGCTTTAAAATTTTCACCGTTTATCCTCTTTCTTTACCCAGTCAGTTTTTCCATTAACGATCAATGTTTGCAAAAACATAAGTTGAGCTGTCGATTGTAAACAATATTTGTGCACAAATAGGTAGAACAAATTTTTTTTAATAACTCATTTAATTATGCTCACAAAAACATGGTAGACGAACAATAATCAATACATTTTCCGCTTCCACATCAACTACGGCCATACGTTCTTTAAATGAAGATAAGGGATATTCTGTTATAATACCATTAAAATTTCCAACACTTAAAACCGATGGATGTTGATTATTATTATACCCATTTAAAACTGTATTCAGCTTTGTCTAATCTTCTATAAACGTATGTGCAAAAAATGACCATTCATCATTATCTTTCCTTATAATACATATACAATGAATAATACTATCTTGTTCTAATAATAACACACTATCTTCATATATTCGATTAGCAAATAAAGGACTACGTATCAATGAGTTTTTGTACCAACCCTTTTTACAATAATAATAATTTGCGACATTAATTGAAAGGAAATAGTCGAATAAAATTCTATTTTTTACTAGACGACACGCAAATAATTTACAAATGCATTGCTGATGATTTTTTTTTTTTATTTAATAGAATTTTTGACCCGAACTCACGAAATATGGACGTAAGATCTTTGTCTTGATTGAAAATATATAAACAGTTTAAGAATAAAACAAATGAATTTATTATTTGTGTTGAAGGATTTTTCATACTGTGGACTGACTCTACCAATAAACCGTTCAAATCCAAAGCCGGACCATGAATGAATAGTATTACACATTTATACATGTAAACTAAATGTAACATGTTGTGAATGACGGATACCATCTCTTCAAACCAATAAAGGTTCTCAAAATTTTCAACAAATGAATTTAATAGAATTGTTGCTTTTTGAACTTCATCGCCCGTGCTCGGCTAGACGAATACTTTTTCGGATCCATTTCTTTCAACATTTGTCCTAGTAACAGTAACAAAAGTAATAGTTTAATTTTTTTGAAGAATGGAACAGTTTTTACCTGACCGCTCACAAATCCCACAACCGTATTCACTAGTAAACTGTTTATGATTTTGTACCTTACAACGTGCCGGTTCGTCGACAGGTAAAAAATAATGTGTAATGTAAAAATATAAGCGCGAACCTAAATTCAAAAATTTGGGCAACCCCAGGATAAAGAAGCTCAAAAAATAACAATAAGTCGAAGTAAGCAACTGCATTTTAAGCCAGAATTTAAAACTATACCTCAACTTCTTCATTGTAAAGATTCATTAGTTTAATGCCATTTTCAAGTGGAGATATTATTTCAGCCATATGTTCTAGTAAACTGACCATTCTTTTTCGATCTATTTTGGTATGTGCTGGCCAACATGTATACAGCAGCATATTTTCATATGAAAAATGGGTTCTTAACGGTATTTCATTAACAACGAAGTATAATGACCAAACTGATAAGTTATTATTTTAAGCATATACCTTAATTCCGTCGCAATGAAACTGAAATGTTATTATAATAATGTTTGGATTCATTAAACGCTCTCGTATTATTCGTTTTGAGTATTCTTTTGATACCGTTATGTCTGATGGATCATTATCAAACGTTGTTCGTGTAACAGCTTCATAAAAATCATAACGTCTAAATAGAAGCTGCAATTGTTGTTCAACACTTAAAACTTCAAATTTAATTGGATCATCACCAATATAGCCGGTTTGATATCTACATATATCGTCTCTACAGTAATGAAGTGAGTCAGATAGCTTATTACATTTCGGACACATGATTAATTGTTCTTTTTCGATTTCTATAGGACATTTGTTATATATTGATTTTTTTATCCTATAAATTGACTTAACATTTAAATCTAGTCTAATTAATGAGACTGTAAACAAATAGCGTTATCCAGTAGGGAAGGATAAGGCTGATAGCTGATAGCTTGCTACAGGAAGGGGGAGGGAGATTTGACACACAAAGGATTGGGGCTAAGTCATTTCGCCTCGTTCACAGGATGCTAAATTGGCTCTAGCAACGAACGGATATTAGCGTCTAGTATTCAAGGATATGCATTCTCTGAAAGTCCTAGCGTGAATGTTTTCTTCACATACGACAAGCGTTACTTTATTGGTAAGGCTCACGTTAGAATCATAAGACATCAGCCTCTCTCACCATTATTTTGATACCAGATTTTGAATCATAACGGCAGAAAACTTCATCCGAGCTGAAAATTTCTTTCACTAAAGTTATTACAGCTCACTATTCACTTTTTAGAAATAGAGTAAAGAAGAATAGTTTACCATCGCGGCAGAAATACGCCGCAAGGATTTAAACGAGGGACTAAACTGTAATATTACAATACACAGCCTGTGTATCGGCTGAACGAACGATAAATTTGGGAAAACAGCGAACTTTTAAACGACCATTATATAATACAAATTAATCCCATTTTCCGTTGCCTAAGAGCAAAACTACTAAAGTATCACGCATTGTGAATCCTTTTGTTGTTATAACTAGATCAAACGCCAATAGCGATTGAACCCGGCGTTCTCTGAAAAAATTTTCTCCGCCCTCGGCAACGACAAAAGTTTAACGGCATGGCGGCGGAAGTCGCAACAATTTTTCTCCGCCTGCAGCTGAGACGGAGCGTAAAAAATTACGGGCGGCGGCGCACATCTCTGGTGGCAACTGCTGCCACTTCCACAAAGTGGCAATAGAACTATAAACCAAAATATATTCAAGAGACAGGGGAAAAATATTCTGTTGAAGGCGACATCTGGAGAAATTCTTTCTTGCTTTTCATTCGGCAATCATCTCACGAATCCACAAAATCGATCTAGCAATCGTTTTCTTTTTACCATAGTGACTGACATGAGACTATTATTTATAAATTAGAAGCTTTCAAGGCTATGACTGGAAAGAAGCCTAGTGAATATGTTTCGGTTAATTAATGAGGACAGAGTACGGACAGTACTTGTAGACTTTTTTTATTAAATTTACTTGTAAAACTTCGGTCAAGTACTTGTTCTGTTTATCTTTATTTATCATCAAGTCATCAACGGTTGTTTGTCTCAGATCACGCGTCCGATAGCATACTGACTACGTTGTGATATGCATCTGCTCTCGTAGCTAGTATGTGGTTAGTCAGTGTGTACGGGGAGCTCAAGCGATTGAGCGAAAGAACTCTGGGTCAGGCTGGCCTTCTGTCCAGAGCTACAGCTAGTATTAGTCGTAGAGAAGATGTCGGGCTTACGAAACTGTCTCCGAACAGCACCCTATACCGCAAGGTAGCCGAGAGGCGGGGTATTCTTCCTTTTTTCTATCTGACTACTCACTTAAAGATAGTTAACAAGATTTTTCTTAATTTCTCTTAAATATGAAAAAAGTTCTATTATAGAAAGCAAAGCGTACACTCTCCGCTCTGCTTTCCTCAGCAAAGCGTAAAACAGCGCGTATTTTTAAATTTCGGAGCGTATGTACGCTTTGATGCAGTGAGTACGCTTTGCTGTTAGAAATACTGGTACAGCAGATGCATGCACGACTACCAAGTTTGTTTAACTCAGTAGAAAAATCTAAATTTAGTTTCTAAGTTTATACTGGTTGATATTGTGACGTTTACATACGACTGGTCAATGCAAAACAAAAGAGTGAATGACTCATCAAAGTACCTGGCTGAAGCCAATCAAGTGACATGACGATACTTGGCGAATGCTTAAACAAGAAGTTGGGAAGTAAAAACACTTGTCAGATTCTTGTTCAAATGCATAGCAAGTGAGGAAACTTGTCAAACGTTTCCAAAGTATTCTGCAAGTAACCAAGTACTTGTATCATGTACATTCATTACGGAGAGTATGATCAAGCTCAGGCCTGACTCAGTCCTAGCACTTACATAAAATTAGCTACCAGCAGAGAAAATATGAAATTACTTTACTTTTGGTCACCAGTTGCGAATAGTGGCACATTAAAAATATAGCATCATAACCGTCTTCGAGGTTGATCTTCGCTGTTATGATGCTACGTTTTCACGATTGCTTTATGATTTGACCGCAGTTTTCTTTAGTATATCCTAATTGTATCACCCTCATCCTCAAGATTCAGATATGGCGTTTGCTGTTAAAAAAGATTGAACAATAATTAATTTAAAAAGACTGCGGATCAGGAGGAAGATTCAGTCGTGACGGCCGTAAATCTTAATTATAATCATGTTCATGATTATCTTTGATAACTGAATGATTTTTTCAGCGTTCTTTCTTTTTTTCTTGTCTATATTTGTTGTTTTGTTTCTGTCGTGATAAAAGGAAGGATTTTTCATTTACATTTACTAGTCATGTAGTAAAATAGTGATTTTATAATTAAAATGTTTTATTATGTATTAATGAAAGATAGATAGAATATGTTTGTTTTAAAACACTATTATTAAGAAACCTTCAAGGTATTTCCTTTTATCAGAAGAATATTAATCTTAAATGATCTAAGAATCTGCAGTCTAGGATTGTGCCTGGTATGTGCTACGTAATATCAATAGTGCTTTAGGATACTACGACCATAGGACCTTAGAACTTTCGCTACTACATATTAGGTTGATCTCATAGATGCACTGACATTTATTTTAATGTTCGTGCTGAAAATGACAGATGTTTGCCGTACATTTAGGACGGAAACTTTGTATTTTTGACTAGAGAAGATATAGTTCGATTTCGTAAGTGATGTTTTCCTTGAAGATAACATATTCTTTCATATTCGTGGTCGTATATTATAATTAGGATTGAATATTTGAACAACTGAAAGCAAAAAATGTATAACGTTTATGGAAGACACCCGTGCATACAACCGTCATTTTTTTCGTTCATTTCTACATTTTTAGATTGCTGTATCAGAATTAGCAATTAGTCTTCAACATGCTCGTCAATATTTTAAATATAATATATATGAAAGAGCATGAATACGGTAAATTTTCTTGATACTTTTATCCACATCATCAAGAATGAAGAAAATTCAAAAGAAACGTCCAACTAATATTATTCAACATGTTACTGATCACTTATGGTTTTATTTGAATCTGGATTGAATTCATTTTGAAATCAACAAGGAGATCAGAACATATTTTAATTAACACAACATTTCGTATGACTATGATTTTCTCAAATACATACAATTAGAAATGAAATCATACTTTTACACCATCGTACGATGTGTATTTAATTCGTGTATGATGTCAGCCAATTTAACAAGGTTAGCGTTTTTTATTTCTGTTATGAAATTGCTGCACTTTTCTTCACTATCCTGACCTGTGTATGAAAAATGCAATAAAACTGGTAAAAAGCGAAAATGGGTTATTAGTATTTGGTTGTATTATCACCAGAATCGACGGATTAAAATAGTTTTCGTCTCGAGCAATGACCAAGTTTTGATGAGGGTGATTCCACAGTCCTATGGTACTTCCTAAGGGCCTAGGACGCTAGGAGTTGGATGTGAGTTATGTAGATTACATGCATGCATATACAATTCTGTGCAAAATTATAGAAACGATTTGTTTTTGATTTTTTCTCTTCGTCAATAACATGCTTGCTTTAAATTATTTTGAACAAATCAGGGAAACAGGTAACAAGCCAGCATTGTTTAAAATAAGAACTATTCACCTCGTATATATATACAAAAGGAATAGAAACAACAACTACAAAACTTAATAACATTTTAAAAAAGAACATCAGAAAGATGAAAAGTTTGCATGTTCTTTAAGACGTTTTTTAAACAAACTTGAAGAGATAGTGTGTGCTAAGTCAATCGGTAGCGAATTCCACTCGTGAGATATATGGGGTATGAAGGATGAGGATGCGTATTTTGTTTTAAATTTTTTAATGGTAACTCTCTCCTCATGTCCCATGCGAATAGATTGACACAGGCGTGGTAAGTTTATGTACGAGAAAATATTTTCGTTATTGATGATTTTATGAAACTAAGCAAGTCGAAAATATTGTCTTCTGTTAGACAATGATGAAAGTTTTAATTTATGTACAAGAATATCCGAACCCGAAATATAATCGCTAACACAAATCTGAAAAAAGGTTTAAATAGCTTAAAGGATTTCCAACGTTGTATGTTGCATACAAAGATTTCATAAAAATTTCTGAAATCAGGATCTCTGGAAAACCAAAGTCCTGGTAAATCAAAGTCCTGGTAAATTGAGTCCAAGGATTCGATCGCAAGTGTTTGTAAATAACTCAGTGGTGTAGAGCAGATATTTTTCGACAAAATGAGACATCTCTGAGCTCTGCACAACACGTTTTTATCAGTCTGCATTCAATTTATGAAAGGCCCTTGGACATTTTTCCTAGTCTTGCAGAGCTGGGGCTTTTCATAAATTGAATGTGGACTGTTGAAAATGTGTTGTGAAGTGCTCAGAGATGTCTCATTTTGTCGAAAAATATCTGCTCTACACCACTGCGTTATTTACAAACACTTGCGATCGAATCCTTGGACTCAATTTACCGGGACTTTGGTTTTCCAGAGATCCTGATTTCAGAAATTTTTATGAAATCTTTGTATGCAACATACAACGTTGGAAATTCTTTCAGCTATTTAAGTCCATTTCCGATTTATTTTAGCGATCATGGACGAGGAGAAAAAGTCAAAAACACATCGTTTCTATAATTTTGTGCAGGACTGTATATTAACAGTAAAAAAGATGAAGGATTTCGGAAAAAAGGTACAATGAATCCCATCTATCAAAATTTTTATGAAAACGCACAAATGATCATGATTTTTAAAAGAATAATATTTTCTGCACCACTGATCCTGGAAAACTTGTTCAGGTTTTGAAAAGAACATAAATTATCCCGTTTAACAGATGTAGTAAAGAGAGGAGTAGAGGATTGCGTAACCTTTCGTTAAAAGTAAAAAAAAAAAACTAGTTCAAATTGAGTTTGTTCAAATTGATTGAAGAACTATTGAGCATTGATGTATAGCTCTAAGTTCTAGATATCTCAGTAAAACTCGGATCAATTGTGCTTATTTCGTAGATTTTTTGATATACGAAACCTGTTGTGCCATTTCTCCAGAGTCAGAAGTACTATCATCCATATATTCGTGCCTCGAACTATAACTATAACTTATCTATATATATTTCGACACAAGTACAAAAATGTCCTTATAGGTACAAAAAGTATTGGTCCATTGTAAAAAAAAAAATGGCATTTAAAAACGCTGTATTTTGTTATTTTGAACTGAAAGTTTTTACACGTATACAATTGATTATGGCTTAAGCAGTAAAGGAAAACCAAGGCTTAACAGGACAAAGCGTATTTAAATGGCAAAACACATAATGAACTTTTTGAGAGTTAACAATAATTTTCATACGCACTGTATATACACATGCATATATAGATATATATAACTCAAATTGAAATGTCAAAACGTTGCGAAGAATGTAAAAGATACGTTCACTTACCTGATTATAATGTTTACTACGTGATAATGATTTATCAAAAATATTGCAAAATTTTAATAAAACACTGATTCTCAGCAGTCTTTGCTCTGTTGGTTTTGTTGCAGAGTAATACGCAAAGTTCATTTGTCATTCTACATGGATCATTGAAATTAGCTCCATGACTTGAATATACTTCGTACTTGACCGCCGATTGAAGATCAAGTACCAAAATACGAATATTGGATTAGGAATCCTGGACTCTTTTAATTAAAAATCTGCACGCATACGAAAATTCTCGTGGTCGTGGACATTGATAGGCACGGATTTTTGAAAAAAAGTGTTTTGAGCAACAAAAAAAGATTTTTAAAGATATGAGTAGACGTGTTGCATGAGAAAGTTAGCATACTAAATAAAGTTCCTAAATAGAAATTCTTTATTATCATATGATAAATGTGCTTATTCCTGCATCGTGTTTTCAAGATATTCCTTCTTAAAAGATCTTTTTTGTATAAAAGGCTCGCTTGTGTACAGTGTGTTGATTACTCTTTTCGCGTAAAAGAGATAGATGCTAATAAAGTGAATTTATTTTGCATTCATCCTATTTATTGTTCATTTTCTCAAAAATTCATTATTACATACTTTTTTTCCTTGTCTTTACTGTGAACAACCTCTAGTAGAGTGTTTTTAGAAGTCTGTTACCATATTTAATGAAAATCAGAGTCTAAGTACTATATTCTCTTATGAAACAATCTGATTTCAAACACTATATTAGTTTATTTTTCTTCTTTCAGCTAGTCGTGCGCATCTGGTTGACGGTTAGTTTTTTTCTGTTTTAAAAATACTATTAATTTATCCATTAAGTGTCTTTTCATTCAACTAACAGTCATTGTCTAACTGAAAGCTCATAATAAATAAGACGACATCCTTTGATTCGATGACTTTTCTGTTGAATGATTAGGTAGTACTATTTTATTTCATTCAATACAGGTGTTAAAATACTTTTAAATTTAATAGGTTTGCATGAGTATACAAACTATTTTTTTTCGTTGAAATGTAAAATTGTGTTCTGTATTATCGTGAGAGGCAATGTTTAAGAATATAAAACGGTCTATTTAAAATCAATAGAAGAACAACTATTCTATATATGTATTGAACGATAGTTAGTTGAATTACCATTCTACACATATCATTGTCCGTTAGTGAATGAACATTTAATAAATGAGCTTGATGTCACCAGAATATGTTCAAAGATATTTGGAATGAAGAGGAAAAAAATACAAATTGAAGCTCTAAACTCATGTAGTATGTATTTTTTTTTATAGCCCATTATTGCTTTTTAAGACGTAATCATTCGAAAGGGTACGAGATAAAGACATTTTAATACAATTAGTTTAATCACACATTTGGTCAGAAAATATTTTACAGACTCATTAGGAGAAGAGTATTTTGAAAACTTTTACAAAAGATTGATATTTCGTATATAGTATAAATTGATAAAATTGTGAATGAATAGTGTCAAACAGTGGAATATATAAAGGACCTTTGAAAACTATTATGTTGCATGAAATGTTTTTCTTCAAATTTTTGAATTATATGGACTTATAACAATAAAAGATCGCGTTTTGCTTAAAATCCAGCCAAACCACTTTAAACATTCAGAAATACTATGTTATACTTGATTTGCATCTTGATAGCGTCAGAAAAGTAGAAATCGCCATTTTCTCATCTGAAAGATATTAGAGTTTTTTCTATCTTCTAACTATTCAATCTAGTCATTTTTCGAACGATTTTGATTGGAATCCTGCGCAAGAAGTAAATTTTCTAGAAAAATAATTTCTATTTATTATATTCATGATTCGACTGAACTTTATCATTTAGGTTAGATACCCATGAGCTGAACAAAAAAGCCCTGCAGATTACGACTTTTTGACAACCTATTACCTATAAAAAGCTTCACAATCTAAACTTAACCTAATCTCATCATAACCTAGTATAACCTATGCAATTTTTTTCTAAAACTTGTCTTCAGAAGTCTAAACTTCAGCGTTATTCTCGATCGTTATTGTTTCTCATCTAAACAATGTTTGATAGAAAAAAAGAGCAAAACCTTATACAAAATACATCACATTTTAAAAGAAATGAACCGGTTGAATCTTTTATGCTTTAATGTAACGTTTCAAAAATAGAGAGATCACCTTACGAGCAGACCAGAATTTTACTTTAGGTTCTCGACGCGACGAAGATAGTTCTCTTTATGTTGTGTATTCGTCATCTATTATTAGCAAATGTAAGTTTTTTCTCTATACTTTCTTTTTCGGTTGTCCCATTTTTCAGTTTAAAAATAGTTCAGTTTAGAACTAGAGAACCTCAGTCTGAACTTTATGAATTGAGTGATAACGTACCACTTAAACGGATTCAGAGTTACATCCGTGCGACTAGTATAAGTAAAAGTTGGTGCGCTCAGTGCTAAGCGAACGGGTGAGAAAATTTCAACTCGTGGCAAGCGAGGAATCTCTGGTATTGTACGTGTCAGTTATTTGACCCAATAAAACTACGCTTTATATTACTCTGAAGTATTGACGATTTTAATGTGATCGTTCAAAATCGTTTTTTTCGTTTAGGTTAAAAATAAGTTATCAAACCAACAACCGAATCTATGAAAACGTTTATAACAGGTTAAGTTTAACCTGCAAGGGCTCTACTAAATAGATCACCATTTCGAAATCGCCTTTAAAAATACTTTGATAATTATTGTTGTTCTGAACTAGAAAATGAGTTTTTCACCTTTCGTCAAGGGCATTTGCTCTCTTGTTTCCTTACATTTGCGTGTCACTTAATTCTCTTGGTGTTATTCGCACTTGGTTGTACAATCGTTCAACTATCTATACTGCGTGTTTTCTCCCCATGAGAAAAAGAATGTTTTTTTCTTTCTTTATTTCTTTTTCTTTTCTTCTCCGATTTTGAACAACAGAATCAAAAAAGAAAAATTCATTTTCTTATTTTTATCGCATGTACGGATCTAACATATAGAACGTGTGTGTACAACTATAAGACATGGAGCTCATTTAAGAAAGCATAATATATTCGTAACGGAAGAAAATTGTTGAATTCGATTTTTTTTTTTTGGAGGAAATAATGTGACAAACTACTATCTTTTTCTATAACTAATCTTAGAAATTGTTGCCGAGTTTGATCAAAAGTTTTTTTATTATTTTATACAATTTTGTCATTCAACATTTATTTTTTTTTCAACTATTCTCGAGCGTCTATATATATATTACATGATAATCATAAAAAATCGAGATTTTTTCAAATTGTACAACTGTATTTATACCCGACAACGATTTATTATTTGCATATGAAAATCAATGGCTATTGAACGATGAATAAAAGCCATGTGTGTGTCTATAGAAATAATTTGATTATTACTATTTTTAATCTTCTTATCATTTGTGGTCTTTTTAATGAAGGTAAACGTTTAATGAATAAGATTCTCTAGTTCTAACAAAATCATCGTCATATTTCTTTAGTCTAGTTTTATACGTCTCATTCTGTATTGTGATTACTATTCAAAAAATGAATATCTTCCCGTTGATACTATGCGTGAGAATATTTTCTTTTTTTTAAACAATTTTGTACTTTTATATTCGCAGTTTCCCAAATTTTTGATTAGTAGAGAGTTTTGCATATTTTCAAAACGTCACTACGTAGCAAGCAGTCATGAGATTTTGTAGCTGGACAGGAAGACACGTTTAATCAGTGTCCCACGCATGATCATAAATGAGCTTTCCAAAAGAAGAAGAAAAAAAACAGTAGTCTCGAGTACTGAAAAAGATGCTGAATGCTTTTTTCCTTTGGACTTTCCACTGGTACCTACGAATGCATCATACGCAATGTATCGTCATCCATTCTCACGTATTGATACGGTGTGAAAGTGGTAAAAATACTAGAATGGAAATGTATCTTATACGCTATTTAGATCATATAACATTGTTTACGGCTACTTGATTTTGAAGTATGCCTTTTTACGTTATTTATTAATCATATAATCGTGTTTTGCGTCGATTGAACTGGTCTCATCATCATTTTGCATAACTCTTGTTTGTTATCAAACAATTTGACGAGTTTCATCATTTTCTTTGTATGGTATAAATGTTTTTTGTGGGAATGATGATGATGATGATGATTTGTACTAGTATGTTTTGTTGATGATAGAAAAAAATTGATAATCATCTATACTCATCAACAACAAAAACAAGACACATAAGTGTTCAATTTCTTTTTCTACAATTTGTCAAAAAAAACCTACTGACGTATAAACATCATTTTTCATCTTTTATATTATTGTGTGCGTAACATTCCATATATTGTTTAGACTATGTGTGGTGAGCATTTTTGAGCAAAATATTTACGTTGCATCAATGAATGAATGAATGAATGAATGATATTATCAATTGTATCCTTTTAAAAAAATTTGTATCTCAATAAAGCAAATGATTATGGACATGAGTGTAGAATTTTAAAAAATGAGATATATATATGTTTAGAAAACTGACATACTCAATAATAAATAATTAATTAAAAAAATTTTTTTTCTATTTCTAAATAGTCAGAAGTGAACATTAGGAAAAATATAATAAAAGCTTAATATAATCATATTTGTCATTGAGTATCTCGTATGTATGTTGACCAATGAATGTCTTTTGTTGTTTTAACTTGTGTATGCGTACGTGACTTGTCAAAAACACACATAATATTTTTTTCAATATAAGAAAATAAAAAAAGAAACGTTGTAGATTTATCTGTGTGCGTGTGTAAAAGAAGAAAAAAAAAAAAACTCTATGGTCCACTCTAATAGTTGACCATCTGTTTATTGAAAACATTGTATTCTACACACACATATACACAATTACTTTTCTTTTCAACCAAAAAAAAAAATTAGTTAAGCCGCTTTGATAAACTCCTCCTTGTTTGTTTTCAACTGAGAAGACATAAGTACGAGGAATATAAAACGGAAATCATACATTGAAGTTGAATAGTGTGTGTGTGTGTGTGTGTGTGTGTGTGTCTCTCTTCACAATATGTTCGGTAGAAACGATTTTCTCAGTTATAATAGTAGTTGGATTACATATTATTATTAGATTAACCTTGAAAAAAAAGAAGAAAATCGCTATTTATCATCATTAATGAAAACTGAGATATAGAAGAGAAAGTTATCATATACAGACGTCTATTCATATGTATGTATAGTGTGGTAGTAGAGAGTTCAATTAAGATAGATATATATGTGTGTGTGTGTGTATGTATATTGCAAATATACAACGATTATTTTTTAATTTATAGACGATGAATCGCGCGCTTTGCATGTCTTTTAATAATCCCGTTTTTTTTTGTTTGGATTTTATTTATTTTGATTAATAGTTACTTTCCAGATGTTAATATTATTTGTACATAAATTTGAAAATGAAATTTTCGAAGGTTATCGAATGAAGTTTTCCAAATATACATTGTCGAAATCAGTATTAAAAATGATTTAAAAATATTATTAATATTTCTTTTTCTCATGTTGTGACTTTAGTAACATCTGTATTACACCATAACTATACTTGACGTAACCATTTGCGTGTCTGTTCTTTAACCTTGATTTGTGTAGTATTTGTTTTAGTTTCATTATTTCATTAGTCTTTTATGTTTTTTCTTGTAACAATGTAGAGTCGTATTGTCAATGATTATTTTAGAGTATAACTTATCATTGGCCTTGAGGTTTTTCGATACACTCACACACTATACACGATTGATTCTACATTTTTTGTTTTTTTTTATTTGTTTAATAATAAAAGTCAGAAGATATGATTGAAGTGGACAGATGTTATGAAGAATTTGTAAAGAAAAATAGAGACATATATAAAAAGAGAACTTTCTGAAAATGATACAAGTTATTTTCACAGCAATATCACCTCATGTTGCTAAACAATGAAAGAATTATTGACATTGAAGAAACATTTTAGTAAAGAATGTTTTTTAGTGGTTGATGAAAGAGAATTAGCAATTAGTTGAAGTTTATACGGTTTCGGTATTAAAGTTAAAAATATAAATTATTAGCAAGAAAAATTGTATTAACTTGAAAAAATTAGATTAAAATTAAATCTTTTAAAGACTATTTTCAAGAACAAGAAATCGAATGTACTTTTATTTCATGCAATATGCAATTTTCAAGCGATTTTAGAGTTCAAATTATTTTCATCATTTTTTGAAAGGAATATCATTGAAAATAAATATGATAAACTAATGTTCGTATTTATTTATAATGAATAAATTGGTTCAGTAATTGATGTTATTTTATTACTAAATGTTCACTTTTCTTCCGTTTTATAAGTTTTCTATTCTGAAGCATATTGCAGAGAGTATGATAGTTAAATGTCCGATATCACATTGAGCGTGAGCTCTTTCATATGATCATGCTGATATAATAATAATAATGGTAATAATGTCTATGATGAGAATAAGAAAATTGAATTTGTCTTGAATCGATAGATAGTGTGAAAAGATCGAAAAAATATTTTATCAACGGGTCCTGTTGATGATATAATAACTTCTTTTTCTTTTTTACTATTTAGTATTGAATGCTATTGGAAGACAGCAGTTACCAAATTATAAATATTAGATTTGTAAACATCTAATTTTCAGAATCGAAACATAATTATAGATAGGTTTTTGATGATGTCAGGTGCATAAATCTAAGACTTCATCTCTTCATCTAATTTCAAAATTTTAATCTATTTTCTTCTAACGTAATAATATTTATATCAGAAATACGTCTTTTTCATCAACATAACATGACCAACAAAGAAATGTTCAGTTCTTTAATGTTGAATAATAAAATAGATTCATTAAACAGACAGTATATCTATATTAGAAAAGAATAATCCATCTTTGTTAATTCCATTATAAATCCCAAGATTAAAAGTTCAAGGGTCAATCATTAAAATATGTGGGAAAGTTATTTCTAAGATGAAATAACAATAAGAAGATTATGTCAATTAAATTAGTATAGAGCTTTTAGTAGAGAAAAATGCTTTTTATAGTCATCTAGAATCAATTGACTGTTGAGTATAATGATTCTTAACAAAGCATTATGTTTTTAGTGAAACATTGAAAAAATATTAGTTTTAGAAAATAATGAAAATAATATAATCTTTTTTTCATCTACATAACTTCTTCTCTTATTTATGATGAATTTTTATTTTTAGTTTCACTTTTGTGCAATATATCACCATCATATTATGCTTATTGGTATCAACGTGGAATGATATCATTATTAGAAATTAATCAAACACATTTTCAGACAAAAGGACGTTGTATTGAAAAACATCGTTCCGATCAATATGTATTTAGTGATCAGTAAGTTATTTAGTTCATAAAATTTTATTTTCAAGTTATATTGGTTATAATTCAAGAACATAAAGAGTATGCATATAATATACACGTTTAACACATATTCATCAATAGTTTAATTTATTTATTTATTTTGGATTATGATCTTTTTCTATCACAATGGTAGTGTAGTAAAACTTTAATGTTAAAACAGAGTTCATCTCATCTCTCATACAATGATGTCTGATTGTATGTATACTCTGTTGTCTTTTGAAAAGACAAATAAAGTCTCAGTTTAAAGTAAACATCTAACACTTTTTTTCTATCATAAAAAAAGAAAAAGAAGCAAAACGAATGAAAGAATAAGAAATTAAATTTTTATTTTAATGAAACCTATTTGTCGACACACTTAAACAAATGTATCTTTACGAAACAATAATAATAATTACATATAGAAAGAGAAAGAGAAGAAGAGAGAGAGAGAGAGATTGAGATAAGAGTGAGGAAATAAGAGTTACGTAATTTTGTAGTTATTAGAAATATAAAATTAGATCAGACATTTATTTAACATAGCATAAATTCATGAATATGACATGACGTATAACCTGATTCAATGAACCAAAAGAAGATCAGTAGTACAAATGAATTAGAGACTCAGTAAAAAAAAAATAAGTATTAGAGTGAACATGTTTAGATTTTGAAAAATACAACAAAACTATGGACAATAGGACTAATTCCTAAATACGACCAAAATTTAAGCTAATTAGTATAAAAATAGTCGCAAATTGGAACGAATAAAGTTACATTGGTCTGTATTTCCAAAAAGCGACCACTTGTTAATTAATGAGTAATCAACAATCGTAATTTGAAATAGAAATATAGAAATTGGTCGCTTTCCAGAAACAATAGAGTACGTAAATATAGACATTAGTTTTTTCAGTGTAGTTGCATATTATCTATACATACGTAGTCACCAATTCTTATTATATATGTGTCTACTTCCATTGTATTCTATTGTTTCTAGAAAACGACCAATTTCTATATCTCTATTTCAAATTACGATTATTGATTACTCATTAATTAAAAGTAGTGGCTTTTTGGAAACGCAGATCAATGTAACTTTACTCGTTCCAATTTGCGACTACTTTTATACTAATTAGCTTAAATTTTGGTCGCATTTAGGTAGAAGGCTACGGACAATTGAATGATGTCTAAAATGGAGAACAAGAATTTAGTTTAGTAGTACTTTTTCTTGCTAGACAAATTCAGCACACCTGTATTGTATGCTTTTTTTAACTTTAGAATCAATCGATGTAATCGATGTATACTATTTATTCAACGACACAGAAATTTGTTACAATATCGTGAAAGTAAGCTAAAATAAATGAATGTTAGTCTCATTTATGGAAAAATGTTCGCTAGATGTTGAAGTTCGATTCATTGTTACATCAAGTTAACCATTTTTTTCTGATAATATATTTATTGACTACATATTCTTTTAGGTGAATGTATCGAAGAAACAACAAGTTCTGCATGTTCATTGATTGCTCCAGATGCTGATCTCTACACACTTCATCGAAGTAAGTTATTGTACATACACACGAGTGTGAAAATAGAAGTCTTAAAATCATTAGTAGTTTAAGTCAAAAAAATGTGATAATAATGATGATGAGTCCAAAATGGAATGTTATATTTATGATGAAAAGAAAAAGAACGATTTCAAACGATTATAGCAAAAAAGAAAAAGAAAAAAGAGAAACTAATTTTGCAACATACGCATTGAACATAGTCAAATATAAAAAACAGCTATTGGTAATAATGATATTGATCATAGTAGAATCACGATTATATTCCCATATTAATAAAGACCGCCTTTCATCAACTTTTATTTGAAAATAATTCAAAGAACATTGTGTGTATGAATCATTTAGTTGGAAAAGTGAATGGTCATTTTGTTTTTCTGCTCTCCATTTATATATAGAGAACTCTGCTAATCGATTTGTGATTACCAGATAATTTTGAATAACGAATACAATGAATGCAATCGAACGTTAGATTGCAGACTGAATGTTGAGTAATGTGGTGATGGTTTCATCTAAATTGAGCAAAAAAAATTCCGACACTATGATTGAAAAGATTATATGCCTTATTCTCATACTTTCTTTCTTTTTTGTTTGTTAATAATTTGAAAACTTTTTTTTTACTTTTAGATGATTCAAAGTCAGAACCGTGTCCCATTTCACCATCTTATTCTTTAACATATATCAAAAATGGAAATATATGTAATAAATCAAATTCTTTCTTGTCTGAATGCTCAAATGAAAATATGTTTCGTTTACATTTTGCTTGTTCGAACAGTAATAGTTAGTATCACAACTATTGTGTTTTCATTTTTATTTAGATTTATTTCTTATTTACATTATTTTTTTTTTAGTTCAATTAATTTGTGTTGCTACATGGACCGAAGGTTTTCATAGTTATTTTGCTGCACGAATACAACAAGAACATTATGCGTGTTTTGTATGTTGATTGTGTTATTCATATAAAAAGTAAAAATATAGAATAGAATTCTTTTACTTTAGCATTATTCATCAAAACATGGTCGATCTAGTTCATTTGAAATGAGTATGGCCACATCATGTACAGACGCATCCAATAAACATGTAGCTACAATTATGAATCTTTCATCGAGTAAGTTTCAATTCAAACAACATATGTCCAAATTATATATTTTTTATCAACATTAGTGTCTTCTTTTATCTTTTTGAAATGTTTGCTAGTTCAATAGAGAAAGTATATACAGAACGTATAAACGATAATTTGATTATAGTATATGTAATTAAACTTTCTTCACCTCACAAATTATAGTCAAACAATAATTCAAGAAGCTCTTTCAGTTCCATTATCGACTCTTCTATAATAATTAATCTTGAAAAAATATACATGAGAGAAGAAAATAATTAGATTCTTATATGAAACTTAGTAATTTTCTTAAAAGTTAATAATCAATAATGTGTACTAAGATAATACTGATCAGTTTTTTAATATTATTCATTTATACTTCGTTCTTTGGGCTATCAAATAGATTGAAGTCAAAGAAAACCAGCAAGACATGAAAAAAAAAGAACACCATATCCTTTTCTTTCTTCGAAGATGTGAATTGTAGTACAGAGTCTCTCTATTTTAGATGTAGTTGGTTATGTATAATATAATCATTATGTTCATTGCTTGTTTTTCTCTTTTATTTTTGATACACACTCATTTTCTATTATGTTATGCAAAGGGGAGAAAGCGGATTTTCGCATTAGTTTAATTTTGAGCTCATATGATACAGACAATTTCCAAGTCTTGTTGAATTTTCGTGGTGTTCCACGCAACTTCGCGAAACGTTTGACATTTTTCTGAATCTTTCTGAATTTTTCTGAATGTTTGTCGATAAGCTCCAATTTCAAGGGTTTTTACAAATGTTGCTTTTATTCTATCGAGCTTTCTTGGATTTTTTTCAGATTTTGTTGTACTCTCGTGGACTTCATTAGTTTCTCTGACTTCTCAGAGGGTCTCAAAGTTTTTCTATGTTTCTGTACATCTAAGAGCCCAAAATACCAAAAAAATTCGCATTTCCCATTGATTTTTAGATTTTGTGGATTTTATCTGATTTTGTTGTACCTCTATGAACTTTGCTAGTTTCTTTCTAAAAAGGGTTTCCGAGTTTTTCTACATTTGTATATGTCTGGAAGTCTCCAAAATCCGCTTTTCCCCCTTGGTACTATGTCAAGCAATTATATTAGTCTAAAGTTAGATGCGATTGTTCTAGTTTTCAAAAAAAAAACATTGAAATGTGATAAAATAAAGAAGAACAGATTATTGTACTCTAAGTGTATCTGTTAATATAACTTTAATCTATCTATTATCGACATAAATTTAAATATTGTCTACATTTTCTTTTTGTCTCAATTACTATGAAATTTTGAATTGTAATATTTTTGTTTTTTGATTGTCAGCACTTTAGAAAAATGAATTGATCTCAAAAACAAATTAAGTCTTATACGTTAAAGGAGAATAAAAGTTTGTATTCTTGTTTTGTTCAGCTCGTCATACAGAATTATCTTGCATATATCCAGAATGGTTATATCGAGAATGGCATTCATTAAATAATTCATTACATGTAACAATTAATAATGGAGAAATTGAACTAAATACCGGTGATTATAATAATTCGAGACGTTTTCATTGTATTAAATTATTACAAACATTACCGGATAAAAATATACGAGTATATCGAGTCCGATCATTTTTAAATTGGTAAGATTTTTGTTTAATATCTTAGTTAAATATTAATATATTTTCTATTTTTTAAATTTTTAGTCATGTATTTGAAAAATGTCTTACCATTATTCAACGTTCATCAAAAGTAATCGAATTATTAACTGGTATGTTATTTTCTTTTTGAAAAATATATAACTAATATTTATTTTATTAATTTTCATTTATTTAGCTCCAAAAGATGAATGTATGAATGAAGATTTCTACGATTTAAAATTAATATTATTTACAAAATCAACAACAGATTCAATTGAATATTGTCCAACAAATTTAGGTCATTATTCACTTTCACCAATTCTTCATAATATTAAAACATCAAAACGTATTCATCATATAAACAATTTATGTAAAAAAATTCGTTCAGTACAATTGTCTGTAGGATGTTATAATAATAAAAAATTAATAACAACATTTCATTGTGCTGAACCATTTGGAACTGGTAAAATAAATTGAGTCATATATATATATGTTGATTATGGACTATTTATATTTTTTGACATTTAATTTAGACGTTGAAGAACATCGTTCATTCAAATTTAATGATATTTGTTTGGCATCATGGAAACAAGATACAATACAATATTTGATTGTTCAATCATCTTATTCTAATCAAGCCTATTGCATGGTAATTACCAAATTTATTGTATAATCATTGTTGGACTATTGTTTGTCTTTGAGTACTAAACGATACGATGTTCTTCTGTATTTATCTCTGACATCGGATGTGCACTCTTCCTAATAAAGCAGTAGAAAGAATCTTGGATATGTTTTAAATAAATGTATTGTTCATAATTAAGTTTTATTCATAGTAATAACGTCAGTTGCTATGTATATATATATATATGTATTATTTAGAGTTATCAAATTGAAGAAAATGTTATTGTACGAAATGATACTTCAAATTGTATGTTTGAAGAACATACGAATAACAATATTGTTTATACTGGCAAATATATGGGTATGTTTATCATTATTGAATAATTCATGTTATAATAATGTTCAAATGAATTTCTTTATTTTTAGGACCATGTTCTTCTAGTAATCATAATCGATTTTGTTTAATACCTATACTAGTCTTGTTACTATTTTTTTATGCTAAACGAGATATTAGATAACGTTCAAAGAAATTTTTTCTTTTAAAACTTTTCTTTGTTATTTAATTAATAGTTTAATGAGTAAAACGATCAAAATAATAATAAAAAAATAAATCGATGATTTACATTCCAAACAGTGAACACTTTTTGTTAAAGTTATGTTTCGAACAAAAATAGTCATATCTCTTTAATACTGCAATATTTTCACATTTTTATTTTCCAGTCACATTGTAGGTTTACTTGTTTGTTTTGTAATACTTTCTTTTTTGTTTGGTTGCTGTTTTTGTTTTTTCAACCATGTTTGTGTATAAGATATTATGATGAATAAAAGAATATCTTTAGACTTATAACTTCTGTTCATCATTTAATCATTTGTATAGCAAGGACAATCTGTTCAAAGTTTATGAGAAAAAATCATTGAACAATTGTAGTTATCTCCAGCTTAGCTGTTGAATGGTTTTAGAGGAAATAGATTATTAGTATAGGTGTCATATGGTAATGCACAGTGTTGTATACGTACTGTCACACTGAACATTATTCTCAGTTATCGAAATACCATGCTAAAATCTTGTTCACAAAGAAATGAAAAAGACATTGTTGACTCTTTAGCTTTTCCAAAACGTATATCGTTGTGTACTTAAATTTTTCAGATATCAAATAAAAACGTTTTTTATTGTGAAAACAATAATACTTTTCTAATGGCGAAACGTACTGTATTACCAAAAACATTATTACAAGCAGTACAATCAACTGTTAAAAACAATCCAAAAATTTTAAATTTTGAATCAACACAAAATAATTCATATTTAAACGAAACAAGTGCAATATCAAAAAGAAAACAGTCTGCCGTAGCAAAAACCGTGGATGATGATGATAATAATGAAATGCGGACTTCAGGTAACGTGTACCAAGAGACTCAGAGAAAAGAGTAATTATTTAAACTACTTTTTATTTAATTAGTTGCTTCTAAAAAACGTAAAATAAAATTAAATAGCCAAAAACAGCAAACGATGAGTGTTGATGCTAAATCTCAAGATAAACGTCCAAATGCATTTTTTTGTTTTCGTATTATGAATAAACAAGTATGTTTACATCTCTAATTTCATTGGTAACTCTAATACTTTATTTGGTTAGATACTAGAAATGGCTAATGAAATACAAGAAAAAATTGTCAAAACAACTCCTTTATTATCAAAAGCATTAATTTCAATACCAACATTGCACATCACGTTACTCGTATTTCAAATAAAGAACGAAGAAGAAAAACAACGGTAAAACACATTAATTCAATTTAAGCAAATAATCACTAAAATTCTATATAGTCGTTTCTCATTGCTCTTATGTGATGCCTTTCAAACGTTAATCATCGCATCTGTAAACATACCATTAAATAATGTATAATGACTGAATAATAATTATTCAGGAATGATGTTACTAGTGATGACATAACTGTAATGTTGGTTGAGACTTCATAGAACTATTCTACTCGTATATTTACTTCTTAGCAGCAAGACTGACTTTATTTAAGGAACAACTCGAGCTTATAAATCGTCTTTTTGATAAAAGACATAAAATCATATGTAATCGATGATGCTAATTCTAAATACAATAGTTGAGACTGTTGCTAGGTATTTGAAGAACGTTTTCACCTGTAAAATCAAAAGTTTTTCTCTCAGAATCAATTTTGAATATTGTCAACGAGTAGAGTATACTACCCTTGCTCAAAAAAAACTTTACATGTGTTTACGCGTAAAAATTTCGTTTACGGACTGTTACACGTAAAGTATGGCCTTTTTACGAAACTTACGGAGAATTACGTATCGTGTCCGTTGAAACTTTATGTGTGTGTACACAAAAATTTATTTTACGACGTTTCACACGTAAACATTCGTGAGAAAAAGTTTACGCGTAAACGCGCCCAATGCTTTAAGGAAATTGTACGCGTAAACTGTCATACGACACACTCCCACGTAAGTACACGTAATTTTTACAAAGTTTTACGTGTGAACTGTGGTGAATACGTGTACATGTAGCTGCAAAACATGTGAGCTTTGTAAGGTGCCGGCAATGCGAAATTCAAGTAAAAATTGTTTTTTGCCGTTTTTTTACATCATTTGATAGAGTGAGAGTTGCTGATCACGAAAAACAACTTTTTACCTTACACAAATATCTTTTTTTTTTTCGAAAAAATCGAAGTATGTCGTATTTTTGTCGTATTTACTTGAACTTCGCATTGCCGGCACCTACATGTACATGTATTAACCACAGTTCACACGTAAAACTTTGTAAAAATTACGTGTACTTACGTGGGAGTGTGTCGTATGACAGTTTACGCGTACAATTTCCTTAAAGCATTGGGCGCGTTTACGCGTAAACTGTTTCTCACGAATGTTTACGTGTGAAATGTCGTAAAATAAATTTTTGTGTACACAAATAAATTTTTACTTGAATTTCGCATTGCCGGCACCTTATATACTTTTAACAATTACTGTGTATTTTGTCGTGAAGCGAACGAATGAGTATATTCTGACATATATACCAAAAAAAAGATTAAAAATAAAAATACAATTCAAGTTGATTCAACTAGAGTTGGATACTGAATAAAATATCGATAGCGACCAGTAGTGTTATAATAGGAGCACGTTTTCTCACTTACTTGTTGTAGTTTAATAGACAACCGTTCACTTGTTTTATGACGAAATAAATATCGCGAACATCAACTTTTAACAATTTCATGTATAACACCTAAGAACATTTCTTCGTCACTTTGTGTTTGTTTAGTGAATAAAATGACAGAATCATCTTTATTGTTATTTGACAATGTACTTGTTGAATAAACAACATTTTCTATTTGAATAGTTGAAATATATTTAATATTTGTTGATGCAAATCGTTGAACATTATTTTATTCTCGTTGATTGTTCATCGTTGTTGGTTTTTTAAGTTTTTTTTATAAGTCACATATAAATATAAGTTTTCTTAATCATTGAACTTACTGAGATATGAACACTTTATTTTGAGCTTTAACTGAATAATTGCATATGCATGACAGAGTTGGAATCGATCGGCTGGTTCCAACTCTGAAACATGACCCTTACGAGAAAAGTCAGATAACAAGAGCAGAAAACATATTTTGGGAAAATGTCAGATTAAATTGTTCATACCTCAATAAGGTCAATGATCACGAAAATTTATATTTATATGTGACTTAGTATATTCTAAAAGTTGATAGTATCCAAAACTGATTTTGAGAGAAAACTCTAGTAACAAACTCGACTATTGTATTCGATCACACTTACTTTCATATCTTTTATGTGAAAAGCAATCTATAATTTGGAACTGTTTCCTTATTAGTAGAATATATTTCTGTTTGTAGAGCTCAAAAAAGTTTACAGGATGCCTGTGACCAGATTCAATCGTCCAATATCTCAAGTGTTCAACTTACATTTCGAAGTTTATCAATGTTTGGAAAAAACATTCTTTACATTGATTTAGACAAAGATTCACACTATGAGAGACTTAATCAATTCGCTGGTAAGAATATTGATATATCTTGAGACTTATTTTGAACATATCTAAAACTCCATTAGAAATTTGCCGTGTAAACTGTGAAAAAAACGGCATTTTTCCAACAGATACAAGAAAATTTACGCCTCATTTAACACTCGTGAAATTATCAAAAGCACATGGTAATTTACGAAAGAAAGGTAGATAGAAATGAGACAACGGAAAATTCAGAAAACTTATGTTATATTTAATATTTAGGTATAAAACATATTGAAGATACTTGGTGCACAATGTATAAAAATCAACATTTTGGTGTTGAGAATATTGAATCCTTAATCTTATGCAATATGATGAAAAAGCAGATGGATGGATTTTATGAAATATTTTCACAATACAATCTACGTACGTGTCCTGTATTATTCGCAAAAACTTAACGTATATGAATTGCAAGAAACAAGTAATTTCAGGATACAAGCAATCAATTGATCTTGATTCATCAAATATTGCTGATATAATAGTCGATGTTCCACAAGATAAAGAAGACGACAAGAAGAAACAAATATCTGATGAATGTAATAATGAAAAATTGATATTAGATACAACGACGAATATTTCTTCAATACTTGACCATGACATTCTTGATGAAGTTAAATTATCCGAGACTTTTATAGTAGATGAAGTTGAAAATCTTGACCAGACACATAAAATGTGCAACAACTATTCAATGACCGAAGTTAAAGTTGATATTGATCAAAACTTATTTGTAGAACAGAATACTGGTGATAATTTGGTTATTACTGTAAATGAGCAGTGTGATACTCAACCTCTACTAAATGTAAAAAGATCAAAATATGAAACAGCGTTTACCGGTGCTAATAGTATTTTTCAGTGTAATTGTTGTTCCATATTGTGACACTCTTGTTTTTTAATGTACGATATAAAACGTATGTTTATCCAAGCTTTATTTGATTTTCTGATCTATAATATTAAAGTGATGTATTCTGTTTTTTTAAGTTATTCAATTTCGATATATAATCATTTTTCTATTCTAGATGCCTCTTCTCAATAAAATTTTGTTTCCCGCTCCAAATCCGCCACATTATTCATCAACAGATCATCCTAAAAATTTAATTTGGCTTCCTGCTGAAGAAACTACATCAGCTATACCATGTTATTATTTTGTACCTTCAAATTGCGAAACATCATCATTATTTATCATTTGGATACACGGAAATGGCTGTGATATCGGTAGTATGTACACAACATTAAAGTATTATAGCAAAGCATGGAATGCACATATCTTAGAATTTGAATATCCCTCCTACGGATTATGTGATAATTCAGTTTCTCCGTCTGAGCAATCAATCAATGCTCATGCACGTCGTGCGTATAGTTTTGTCCACGATATACTCGGTTGTCCATCAGAACGTATTGTTTTTTATGGACATAGTATTGGAAGTGGCGCCGCTTGTTACATGGTTTCTTATTTAATTCAGAAACAAATTCCCGTTGGTGGTCTTATTTTGCAAAGTGCTTACAAATCAATAACAGATTTGATTAATGAAAAAGTAAGAGTTTTAAGATATTTATTTCAAAAAAGTTGGAATAATATACATGAAATGGAAATTATTACATGTCCAGTCTTGATGATACATGGAAAAAAAGATTCTTTAATTCCTTACCGACATTCGGAAGCACTTCATGCGGCATGTGTTTCAGAGAAAAAGGAATTATATTTGATTTCTGATGCTGATCACAATTCAATCAAAGATGAGGATGTTGCTCAACGTGTTTCTAAATTTTTTACTCAATATTTAGCTAATGATTCTGATATATTTCTTAATATAATATTAAATGAGAAATATTATGTTGAACCGGATAAGAAAAAACCATTATCAACTGGCAACATCCTAAGTAAATTATTCTGCGTATCGACAGCATCTATTAATGCAACATCTTCAGTATCGGCTGCTACTAGTCATATAACGACGCGATCTGACATAAATGAGACGTTAAATGTTGATAAAACCAACTTATAGAATTTGTTTTTAAGTATTTTTAGTTGTACATTTCTTCGAGTAAATAAAACTTCTCTGGTATAAATATAAACGAATGGTTTGCACAAATAGAAGAAGAATGGAACAGATGATTGTATATCAGAACTCTGTAGTCCAGGGCACATAGACTCAAACCTTTTCGACAACGTACTGATCTGAACTCGAAAAAAATGTTTAGATTGATCTACATCTAGAAAAAACCGCGGAAAACGTGTTGTTTTTTTGTATCGCTAAAGATGGCTATAGCTTTGAAGCTCACAAGAAGTCATAAATAAGTACGTGCATTTAGATTTGTATTTTCGAGTGTGTGAAGCTCTATGTACGTCGGTCGGTCGGTAAAGAACACATATTTGAATCGTTACTTTTGTCTTTATCGTTAATCTAGTAGCTGTAACGGTCGGTTTACGGACTGTTAATGGTTACCCTGAAAATGCGAGCAATTGCTATGACTCGTACTAGCCTTAAAATTTGAGTTCACACGGTTTACTTGGACGATATTTTTGTGGATTGAACTGGACTCTATCTTTTCAGTCCATTGATTAGAAAATTTTTTCAAATATCCGGTCTGAGGAATGGTCTAAAAAGTTTGAGTTTACGGACTGAACTGAAAAATATAAGCCTGTTGTATGTATAACGGGTGCTTCAGAAGAAATTGCCCTCTTGGTATTTTCGTCTTTTCTCCCTTTTCTTCTATAGATTTGAGCTACTTCTTTTTGTAGAAGATGCGTCTTGAAATACTCTACAAAATCATACTTAAACTATAATTTCAGAACTTCAATTAAGAAAACTACGCCAATTAGATGAAAGTCGAAAAAAATGAAAACTTTCCAAACTCAAAATTTTTTCTGGTTGAACTTTTTCTTCTGCTACTATTTCGGCTAAAAAATGTGGTAAAAGTGAGAATTCAGTTTATGTTTGGTACTTTCAAATGTGCTCTTACTCGTGGTCTGTAAAAATCTTTTTAGAGCAGATGGCGTGCTGGAGAACGAAGTTACAAAAATACGTCAAAAGTTGACAGCCTTCCCGTTTGCAACAATGTTCTCAAGCAAGACACGGATAACATGATTGAAGTTTTGGTTTTACAGTTAGATAGAAAAGAGCAATCATTTCTGATCAAAACAAAACAACCCCGACCGAAAATGCTTTTATTTTGATGGAGTTATGAGACTTTTACTGAAGGCACTACTATACCCAAAATTTAAAAAATTAATGAAAAAATGCATAACAACCGACAGAAAAACTATTATTTCGCCGTGGCTTTTGATGTGAAAAATTTTGAAGCGTAGCTAAAAGATGGAGCGAAGTCTGTGCGACAGAATGGCCGATTCAGTTTTTCTTACTTTCAAAACGTTAACGCAAGAAATCATTTTTGAGTTTGGAAGGCTTTCATTTTTTTCGACTTTCATCTAATTGGCTTAGTTTTCTTGATTGAAGTTCTGAAATTATAGTTTAAGTATGATTTTGTAGAGTATTTCAAGGCGCATCTTTTGCAAAAAGAAGTAGCTCAAATCTATAGAAGAAAAGGGAGACAAGACGAAAATACCAAGAGGGCAATTTCTTCTGAAACACCCGTTAATAAAATGAGTCTACTTTCTTTAATAAGAAACGATCAAAGTTTCACTAACTGTAACCCGTCAATGTAAAGATTTTTTGTGTAAATGTGGTCTTGCGAAATGGCTTCTTGAAGGAGATAAAGTCGGTTGGATAAACACATTAAATTTCAAAAAATCATCTTTGCTACTAAATTGTGAACTGTTTCTCATTCTGATTTAACTTAAAATCAACACCAAACGCATGTTAGACAGTAATCAAATGCTGAAATTATGATAAAATATTCCTTTTGCTATCCATCTTAGATTGTTTAATGACTAAGTCTACAAATCAACGAGAAAATATAAATCAATGTTATCCAATTCTGATGAGTTACCCAACAAATTTCGACAAAGGCGAAAATTATCGTTTGAATCAAGTTATATTCTTCGTCATCATGTTTTAACATTTTTTTCCGACTTCCGTCAATGTTTCTTCTTTTAGTCTTTCTTTCATTTAACCTTGAAGTTTTATGAGTCATCGGTTTGGTTTACTGCATCTTTTTTTCCATTCCTTTTTTCATTCATGGTTTGTCTTATAAGTTCCTAATGAGTATGATTTTCTCGATAATCGTTACTAGATTTTCGATCTTGAATCATTTTGCCTTTCGAAAAAACAATTGTTTCTAATGATTTAACTTTAATTTCTAAACAGTAAAATTTTTGGCTAATTCATTTTCAAAATGTTGTGTACATGCGTTTTAGTCTTCTAGGTGTTATAAGTTTCATTAAACGTCGAATTTTGATGTCTATTTGCTGTGGTCACTCTAATTAATCTTTTTCTTATTGTATCCGACATTTTGATGGTAATTTTTTTCGATAAAATAACTTTTTCCGATGTTTATGGATAGTTCAAGCAGACATTTTTGTATGAGAGCGAAATCCGTTCTTTTTTGGATAAAACTGAGTGTGGAATCTCTCAAATAGATCTGTGTTATTGTTTAATCTTAATGAGTCCTATAATGATCTACGTTCGTAATGTTCCTCTTTTCCTCTTTAATCCAAAACCCCTCTTCTTTCTCCTCTTTCAGAGTGATTTTCCTCTTTTTCTGGGATTTTTTAGCAAAAATACTAGAAATCAGGCTATTTTTAGATTTGAAAATAGTGTCAGATATATTTTTTTATCAACGCCGTCATATGAAACAAAAAATTCAGTCACTCTTGGTTACAGAAAACAGTAGATGAAGCCTCTGTGAGACGATGGTTGAAGCAAGATGCCCAGGAATCAACATTCGTATGTAGATTATGTAAAACAGGCGAATTAGATTGTGGGAACAATGGATGGCAGTCGATAGTACAACATATGAAGAACTTTATCACAAATTCATCTACATTCACCATTTAAATTAAGAAAGCAGCCGCAAAAATAACTCTTCTTTTTTACTCTACGCTTCTCTTAAAAAGTTTTTGACGTTTCTCTTTTCTCAAACGACTGTTACGAAACCAGACAATGGTTCAGTTGTAACGTCTGATGATTCTCTTCAGTATATGTTCTTCTGTATGACAAATATAGATGTTCATTGATTTTTATATGAAATAACCACAAAAATAAAGAAATGAATATAAAGATATGAGATGATTGACATTCCTCTTTAAAAAGATAATATCAGGAAAATCAAATAGTCTAGAAGGAACAGTGATAAGTTTACATGAATGAATTTTTTCTTTCGAATAAATATTGAAATAAACAACCATGATACGTTCTAAACTTTTGCGCAGATCAGGCAGCATCGAAGAAATTAACAACAGTAGAAATGTTTTTGAAGATCACTTACGATTTCACCGCAAGAAACATCGATAAAAAGTAATTTCCCCCGATAAAAAAAAATCATTATATCATTAAAAAGTTTACTACGACAATGTTAAACTATTGTTATCGGTACTTCTCAATAGTACTTAATAATTTGAAAATGACTCTTGTTTAACGTAGCTGACATTAGAAACTTGAACATTAGAGATATACAGGGTGCGTAAAAATGTTTTTCCAGGGGGGGGTAACGCTATAATTGCGAATAGGGTAAGTAATGAATTTTATACCAGATGAAAGCCCGTCGAAAACGGGATTTATTGATGCTAAATAGTAAGTTTTATCAAAGCATTTTAGTGTCGAACTTAA